AAAACGAAAAAAAAAAAAAAAAAAAAAGAAAGAAAAAGAAAAAAAATCCAAAGCACTCGCTTCTACAGCAGAGCCAATAGCAAGTCAGCCTCACCGACGCTCCCGAGGGCCTCGGTGGCTAATAGGTTTGTCCGTGGGCCGACGCGGGTGTGAGGCGAGGCGGCGGGCTCACTGCACCTTCGCCACCTGCTCTGGGAGCGACCTCAGGTCACCAGGGCCATGGAAGCAACCGGTCCCAAGCCGCCGCCTCTCCCACTGTCCTGAGGAGGGGACAGAATGTAAGAAGGCTAGCCAGCTGGAAGAGGATGAAGGCTGATTATCAACGGCAAGTCTAGTTCTGGCCACACACCCCACGAACCCCATAGGCCAGGGCGGGCCTGCAATCAGTCTGAGAGCAGAGCGTAACCTGATCGGGACAGCTGCCCAGCGCGGGCTCAGGGAACAGCAGCCCGGAAATGCGAGGTGGGGAGCAGCTGAATATGCGACTGGAGTGTCCTGGCAACTGTCAGGGGTCCTGGGTCAGCATCGTGGGGCAAGGGCTCTGGCGAGTGTCTGCATTCAGAGCACCGGATACCTGCGAGACAGTGAGGTCCGTCAGCACGCAGCCATGGCTCCAGTTACAACCGCAGCAGGTATACCACTGCGAGCAGTAGTTAGGTTAGGCTAGCAAGAGCTCTAGTACTACCACTGGTTATGGAAGCAGAAATGACACCGCTAGTAACAGTAGTCACAGCAGCAGGTACACCGCTGCGAGCAGGAGTTACGTTACCCTAGCAGGAGCTGTAGTCCCACCACTGGTTATGGAAGCAGAAATGACCCCGCTAGTAACAGTAGTCACAGCAGCAGGTACACCGCTGCGAGCAGGAGTTACGTTACCCTAGCAGGAGCTGTAGTCCCACCACTGGTTATGGAAGCAGAAATGACCCCGCTAGTAACAGTAGTCACAGCAGCAGGTACACCGCTGCGAGCAGGAGTTACGTTACCCTAGCAGGAGCTGTAGTCCCACCACTGGTTATGGAAGCAGAAATGACCCCGCTAGTAACAGTAGTCACAGCAGCAGGTACACCGCTGCGAGCAGGAGTTACGTTACCCTAGCAGGAGCTGTAGTCCCACCACTGGTTATGGAAGCAGAAATGACCCCGCTAGTAACAGTAGTCACAGCAGCAGGTACACCGCTGCGAGCAGGAGTTACGTTACCCTAGCAGGAGCTGTAGTCCCACCACTGGTTATGGAAGCAGAAATGACCCCGCTAGTAACAGTAGTCACAGCAGCAGGTACACCGCTGCGAGCAGGAGTTACGTTACCCTAGCAGGAGCTGTAGTCCCACCACTGGTTATGGAAGCAGAAATGACCCCGCTAGTAAC